GTGTTCTGACGGGGGCCGTCTGTCCGAACCCATGTCTGTTCGCGCCTTCCACCCTCAGCTCTGGGGCCTTTTCCGTCTCAGCTAAGTACTTCCACGCTGGAGCTGTGCTTTTGCAGTGTGAAGTATGACAGCAAAACTCATATGAAATTTTTTCTTTTTTCACTCTCAGTTTTCACCAAATTTGCCAAAAGATTTTGTTTTCTTTCACCTGTAGTTTTCTGTGTCCTTAAAGTTTCTTTCTCGCTGTTTCCTCTTTATTTTGTGTTCTTGGATCTAGCCTTGTCTGAAAGGAAGTATCCGTAGTCCTTGGTGAGGGAAGCTCTGCTTTGGACAAACATGTTTTACCTGGGAATAATTCACGATTGTCTAGTATGTGTCATAGGGCTGTAACTCGGTACAGCTGTGTGTAAGATGATGATGCTACAGTATATTAGGATTGGTCCAGTGCTCAGTCTCATGCCATGTAACACAGAAAAAATCTACAATAAAGATTTGAAGACATTAGGCCCATTAGAAGAGATTAGGAAGAAATTGCAAGGGTAGTTGCAATGTAGTAGTTTCAAAGAGTAAGGAAACATGTTGTAATGTTTGTAGTGAAATGAGGAGGTTTTAGAATGGCAGCTCTAGAATGAAATAGATAAATCGGTTCTTTTTCTTGACAATTTCACAGGTAGAAGATTTGGTGAGTGGGGCTTGTCAGTTGAAGTCCTAATGCTGCTTTGCTGGTTCTTTGAGGCAGTATTTTCAAAGCTTTCTTTCTGATCTATCATTAAATTTCCCAGAAAAAATCTTCTGCTCTTAGGTAAAGTTCTTGCTGCCTTAGTTCTGGGAGCCCAGTGTGGGAGGAGCTTGAGGGTTTCAGGGTAAGCGTTCTCCCAACGCTGTGTGTACAGTAGCTGACGTTTGCCCTCAGCTGTTGCCGGTGCCTTCCAGACCAGAGGCCTCTCCAGCACATAAACCCCGGCTTAGTAGTAGAGTGAAGGGACAGGGACAGTTGCCCAAAATAGTGAGGGAAGTGATTTGGCTGTGTTGCTTCTTATGTGAACTTTAAACCAGTCCTCTTTACTGAAGTTTTCTCAATGCATTTTCTCTGTCACTTGCTGAGACCCCCACTGCTATTGACTCCTAGGCATTTTGGTGGTTTTCAGGTATACAGTTGGAAGCTTCGCAGTTTTCTCAAGCTTATTTAGGATTTAGCTTTTTCCCAGTTTGATAAATCCTTTCCTGTTATTCCATTTACTTCATTTCTAGCTTTCTGTGTTTCTATGCTATTGTGTTTTGTCCCCTTCTCTATATTTTTGTGTTTGGTGACTTAAAAAAAAAAATCTGTATACTATTGATATTTTAGCAAAAGGACTTAAAATCAAGTAAATGTTTACTTTGCTATGATCATTAAAGTTATGCTTAAGAGATTTTGTACTGTGCCATTTTTGGTATGTTAAGACTGTACTAAATTATGCCTTTTTGGATTGAGCTCATGGCTCACAACTGTCATGGCTGGAGCTCAGGAGTTAGAGATTGCTGAGGCCTTCACTACCAAAAATTAAAAAAACAGCTGGGCATGAGGGTGCATGCCGTAGTCTGAATCCATGGGAGGCTGAGACAGGAGGATTGCTTGAGCCTAGGAGTTTGAGGTTGCAGTGAGTTATGATGATGTCACTGCACTCCAGCATGAGTGACAGAACAAGACATTGTCTCTAAAACAAAAAACAAATTATGCCTTTTTGTTTACTATTTAATAAAGGTAAGGACTACGTGATAATTTTCCAAAGTAATAGGTTACATTGGTTAGTGTATGGTTAACTACCATAACAAAAAGAGTGAAAAACACCGGCTCAAACAAGAAAGATACTGGTGTCACATGATAGTTCAGAAGTGGGTGGATAGTTTATGATGTAGGCAGATTTGCTGCATTTGGCCATTCAAGACCCACATTCCTTACATCGTATCAGTCTGCCATTCCCTAAAAGTGTTTTTGTTTATGTGGTCGAAGTCATCACCACGTGGTGTAGCTTACAGGACAGGGAAAGAAGCTGTGGAGGCAGAGCACCTTCCTTCGTAAAGGACATGACCTGAAAAGGGGAACATCTTGGGGGCTGTAATTTAGTCATAGGGCACACTTAAATCCAAGAAGCCTAGGAAATGTACTCCATGGCCGAGGAGCCATGTAACTGGCTAAAGCTCCAAGAAGGAGACATTTCACATTCTGGGCTGGACGATGTGATTTTATGTCTGATTTGCCTCAAAGCATCTCTCCCAAACAGAATTAGTTGTTCAGCTAGATTTCAATTCTCAGTTATTTTTTTGAGGTCTTTATTCAGGTTTTTATGCTTATGTTAAGAACTACTGTAAAAAGTTAATTTAATGTTTAAATTAGAAAGTTTAGTCTGCTATTGGCTTTTTGTTAAAGTTTGTTTTGATTCTATAGATTCTTATTTTAACAAATTTTTACTGATCTATTTGGACCTATAAAATAGATGAATAGGTGAAAACTATGAAAAGTTTTTCATGAAACAAGATTGATTTCCATTTCTACTTAGTAAAAATCAAGCCTTAGTAAGTATATGAAAGTCACACCACTGTCCAGCATTTGCAAAGGCAATTGTATTCAATTTTGGCTTTCCCAGTGTAAATTAGAATTACAGCTTTTCGTTCAAATAGAAATCTTTTCTTCACCATAGGTGATCTTGCTCATGTGACAATAGTCATTAAAGCTAAGCTAGATTAGAGAAGGCTGATATCATGAAGCAGGTGTAATTATGATGGGATCCTGCTAAGAAGGAAAGGGGCCTGTCCGTGCACAGCAGCAAGGCTGTGTTCTCAGGGAGTTTGGCAAGCTCTATGCAGCAGCCGGAGTGCTTGCTACCTTTAGGAGAAGTTTATCATTTATATATTTCTAAAGTAACATGGTAATTTATAATACCTGCCAGAATTTTAATATATAATGTTACCTATTATTTTAGCGGGACATTTGGCATGATGTTTGTTCAAGAAGATTTTGTTTTTGCATTTCTCATGTACCAAGAAAACCTGGTTTAAAAGTCATCTGCTGTGAGAACCCTGTGCCCTGTGTCTTAAGCACAGTTGTGTAAGGAAAGTTTCTTAGAGAACAGAAAATCATGTTCTTCTTTGCCCAGACACAAGCTTTCCTAATTTATCTTTTTCATCTTAATTTAGGCCACAGTGTCTTGTTATGACAGGTGCTCCAAACTCACGTCCAGCTTTACTTCATCTGGTTCACGATTTCACAAAAAATGTTGGTTTGATGATCTGTGGCCATGTACATATGGTAAGTATCAATTTTGTTTTCTGTATTGAAATATTTTATTAAAAATATTTTTGCCTCTAAATGGTCTCAGTAGTATTTTTAAAAAGATTTTGACTTTTGAACTCTCATTGTTTTCTTACTCATTGTGAGTAGATTTTAGAAAATTATATTGTCCTTATAGAGTAGTTTGGCCAAGAAAAATATCTCCTTAATAACTAAGGACTCAAATGAAATTCTTATGTTTTTTTCTTATTAATGTATTTCATAAAGTCCTAAGAACACTTGGGAACATTTACTTACCAGACTAAAATAGGGATTGGAGGAGATAGGCAAATCATGGTAAATATCTCACATGGGAAGTAACATCTCTGGTGTGTAAGAAGAGCAGAGTATATGCTGAACTTCCGAGTTCAAACACTTTTAATTGCCCATTTATTTTTGTTTTAACCGGGAATAAGAAAATTGTTTAAAATAGAGGCAAACTTTTATCTAAAAGTAGTCTTTGGCTTTTGACATGAAGGCTGCTGAGAACAGACTGGATGATGGCTTAACTGTTCTGCATAAGAAGTTGTAGTATTTATTTTTCAGATTAGCTTCCCTCCCAGGCTCATGTTTCGGTTCTGGAAATGTGTCCTATATGCCCTATCCCCAGCCTCTGCTAAAATTGTTCTTCTACTTGTATAGTGCCGAAGTCAAGACCATGCTTATGTGTGTGTGCGTTACATGTGTGTAGGATGTTGGAAGGATGCATTGAGACACAAACCCCTCTTGGTACCTATGGAGTTTTCCAGTTTATCTCTAGACTGATCAGTTCAAATCAAGGCACACGACATTACACCAGGGGCAATTTCCCTACAAAGAAAGATAAATTATATTTTTTATTTAATTCTTCATGTTTATGGTATGTACTCTGAAACATAAGAGGACAGATAATTAAGTTCTTGAACTCATCCTAGAAAAGTGCTGCATCCCTACCTCACACTGACTATCATTACGGTCACCTTCAGGGTACTCCCCTGGGGAAGCTATGTGCCAGCCCTGGCACCCAGTCCACCCTTCAAACCACTTTTGAGACTCTATTCTGGAATGGCCACCAGAACTGTCATCATACAAGGTATGACAGTTAAGTTCACCAACCTAACCTAGAAAAAGTGCTATTATATACTTCATTGCTGGATATTACTGTGGTTGCCAGGGCCGCAGCAAGTACTTCAAAGGTGACTGTAGTGATATTCAGTAATGAGGTATAAGCACTTTTTCTAGGATGGGTTTGAGAACTTAATTGTTTGACTTTCATAGATTTTTGCTTTATGCATTTGTGCATAACACATTTTACATGTTACTTGCAAGGATCAAAATAGAATTTCAAGTTATCAGAGCTCTATTCTTCTGTTACTTAATCTTTTAACAGAAGTATGAAAAAGAAAATGTTTTAATATTATATAGCTTACTTTGATTTTCAGTGATACTCTTAAGTTACTGGGAATTAATAAGTCAGGTATTTGGGAGAAACAAAATACAAAGTAGGAAAGTTTCCATCCATAGAAAAATTTTGCTAATTTAGACTATGTTGCTCTTTTCCATTTTTAATAATTTTACACTTCTTTCATTTACTTATAGGATTGAAACTTATAATTTATGTCTAAGTCCACATTTCTTCCTATTCTTTCCCCCTTCCTACTGATGGCTTGTGCTTTAGCTATTTTAATTCATCAATACTACTATTTTGTAATCTTAAGTATCAGACAAACTTAACTACATGAAAACAAATGATATTGTTATACTTTTCTACTCCCACATTTAGACACCCCACATTCAAGTCACTGTCACAGGACGGACTGTAATAAATGTGAAATAGATTACCTTTCAAATAAAGATACTAATATTTTTATTTAAAGGGCCCTCGAAGACAAGCAATGAAAGAGATGTCCATTGACCAAACCAAATATCAGAGATGGCTTATTAAAAACAAAATGAAGGCATTTTATGCTGCAGTCCATGCAGATGACTTGAGAGAAGGTGCTCAGTATTTGATGCAGGTAAGTTTGTTATGCCATTCAAATGCCTGTGTTTTAGTTTTGGATAAGTTATTTATTTATTCATTTATTTACATATTTTGAGACAGAGTCTCAACTTGTTACCTTTGATAGAGTGCTGTGGCGTTGCATCATAGCTCACAGCAACCTCAAACTCCTAGGCTCAAGTGATTCCCTTGCCTCAGCCTCCCGAGCAGCTGGGACTACAGGCGCCCACCTGGCTACTTTTAGAGACAGGGTCTCGCTCTGACTCAGGCTGGTTTTGAAACCTGGGAGCTTAGGCAATCCACCTGCCTCGGCCTGCAAGTGCAGGGATTATAGGTGTGAGCCACCGTGATTGCAGGACATAAAGCTTTATCATAAAGCTATTGTACGTAAGCCATTGTGATACTGAAGTAGTGATAGGCAGTTAGATGAATGTGATGAAACAGAAGAGCAGAATGTAGAGGAAATTTAACATGACAGAAATGGCATTGATGGGATGGGCTGGAACAATTGATTATCCACATGAAAAGTAATAAAATAGATTAATACAAAGACCATACAAAATTCATTTCCAGGGAGGTTGAAAGCTCGGTTAAAAAGGCAAATTTTTAAATTTTGTAGCAGAAAATATAACATAATTTCTTGACTGTGAGCTAGAGAAGAATGAGAAACATAAAAAGGAATCCACAAACCAAGGGAAGATAATAGTCCTGACAGACAAACAGCAAAAGAATATAAAAAACAGCAAAAGAATATAAAAAAAATAAGTAAAAGGGAAAAAACAATGCAAGATTTGAACAGAGAGGACAGCTGAGTGACAGAAATAAAAATAAAACCACAGTGCTCTTTATACCCATTAGACTGACCAGAAATTATGTCTGCCGATACAAAGTGGTAGAAATGGTGTAGACCAGTGGGGAACCTTTGACTTGCTGTGGTGATGTGGATTGGACAACAACTCTGGCAATGTCTGCCAGAGTTGGAGTGAATATTCTAGGACATTCTACCTGAGGTGTATACTTGAGAGAAACTTCTGTATGTGTGAAGAAGGCTGTGTGAAACCTCTTAACATTGTCATTTGTAATAGTGAAAAGTATTGAGTAACTTCAGTGACTGTCAGTCACAGAACTAAAAATTGTACAGTCACACAGAATTCTTCTACACAGTGGTGAAAAGCAGCTAATCACGTCAGCAAGGTAAATCTCAAAAAGCATTGTTAAGGGTAAATAGCAAGTTAAAAGAAGTGTACGGACAGTGTGAAGATACTATAAAATTTTAAAGACAAGTTTGAGAACACTGCCCTTAAGGGTTTCTGTAGTATAATTTCTTAATTTTTGGTCAGTCTAATGGGCATACTCACGTAACTCTTTGTCAGGAGTTAGAATTGATTATCCTAATTACTCTTCATCCACTCACCCCAGTGGGTCGTGACAACTTTTCATCAGTGTGGGTTAGAACAGTATCTTTTTGTGATTGCCCCATAAACGTGGCAAATGCAACCACTGCATGAAGATGAGTAGGAGATTGACTTTCTAGCAGAGGTGTCTAAGGAACTGTCCTTACAAGGAAATGCCAGTTGCCTCTCTGGAACTACTAATGGAAATTTTAGTATCAGTTGTCTCTGAGAGTACCTCTTTCCTTTCTGCCATTTGGAAACCTTGTACATAAAGTGACAAGGCCTCTGTGTCTTTTAGTTGTTTATAATCATTATCAAAAGAGTTTTTTTGGATATTGATTGGTTTCTGTAGTGACTTTTATACAGCTCTAGAGATGCTATTTATAAATGGTATTGCTGTTTGTTTTATTACTCTGACTTTTAATTTCTCTGTCCCCTCATTACCGTAGTTGGTAATTATGATAAGTATTTCTTATCGCTAAAACAGCACGTGAGTATGCGGCCTCCACAACAGAACTTTTTTTTTTTTTTTTTTTTAGGTTTGGTAGTCACTGATTTTCTTTTTTGGTTGTGCTTTAAAATTTTTTTTTTTTTTTTTTTTT